AGAGAGAGCACAAGCAAGGAGAGAGGCAGAGGGAGAGGGAGAAGCAGACTCCCCGCCCAGCTGGGAGCCCGATGCGGGGCTCAATCCCAGGACCCTGGGATCATGACCTGAGCCGAAGGCAGACACTTAACCATCTGAGCCACCCAGGCGCCCCGTGTATGCCTTTCATTGTAATGTCTTTTTATTCAAAGCACTGCCTATACCATTATTTGCTTACAAAAATAATTTTTATTAGTCTTTGGCATTAAATTTCTATTAATCATAAAATAAGAAAACATTCTCAACCTTATAGCCCTTCTTTGCTCCTGTATGAAACCTTCAGGGCCTCTGTCCCTTTGGGACTGACAGTGGTGCTGACCATGGTCCTGCCTGTGGTACTGTCCATGGTACTGACTGCAGGATTTGTAATTGTAACAGCTTGGTCTTTTCTGTTAGGAAAACTGACCTTAAATTAAAGCACATTTGAATACTATAGTCAGTAATAATGACACTTTAATACATGTATTCAAGTTTCTTAATATATAGATGACACACACATGTATATACACACATAGGTGTATGTGTATATGTGAATACACACATGCATAAATACACATGACATTATAGAATTGGTTTTGAGTCTTTAATGCACAGAATGGTATCATACTATAAATCTTTCTGCAGCACAGTTTTTTACTCAATGTTATATTTTAATAGCCCATCCATCTTTTATACATTTAAATTATACACATTTTATACATCTAAATTACACATATACATACAATATAGTTTATAATTATACAATTAAATATACATCAGGTTTTTTTTTTAAGATTTTATTTATTTATTCGAGAGAGAGAGTGAGAGAGAGAAAGAGCACAAGAGGGGGGAGCGGGAGAGGGAGAAGCAGACTCCCTGCTGAGCAGGTAGCCCGATGCGGGACTCGATCCAGGGACTCCAGGATCATGACCTGAGCCGAAGGCAGTCTCTTAACCAACTGAGCCACCCAGGCACCCAATATACATCAAGTTTTAATTTTAATTGCTGTACAGTATTCCACATTCTGAATATGCCACATTTTACTCATCATTCCCCTACTGATCAGTGTTTTTTCAATGTTCGACTGTTAAAATTATGCTGCAAGGAACCTCTCTATAGATCTCTTGTTAGATAAATGTTTAGGAGTCTTTTTGGTACAAACACTTGGAAATGGAATTGCTGAACCAACTTACTCATTTTTATATTAATACTTCATTCTGTACTTATCTTCACTCATTTTTATATTAATACTTCATTCTGTACTTACCTTCACTATATGAGGAAACAATTAGGCTCTCTTGCTTATGAAAATTACTTAATGTGTAACCTGTACTTCCTGGAAAATGTTAAGAAAGAACAAAACACCCAGAAGTGGAGGCAGGAAAGTCTTTTGAAACTTTCAGCTGAGATTTGAAGTTATTCTTTGATCTTCAGTGAATTTTCTATCGAAAATGTTTATCTTTATGTGTGTCCCCCTTTACAATGGCAAACCAAAATATTAAAATATGATTACACAAGCAATTTCATTCAGAGAATTTATAGACAATCTTCATACATAACTCAACTGGCTAGACTATAAGAAATAAGTTTAGAACAGAATTTAGGGTATGGAAGAAACGTAAAGGTTTATGTAGTTCCATCCCAGAGTATGGAGCCCAATGTGGTGCTGGATCCCAGGACTCTGGGATCATGACCTGAGCCGAAGGCAGCTGCTTAACTGACTGAGCCACCCAGGTGCCCCCTAACAGAATCTTTTGAGACACAGACTCCAACTCCGAAGTTCCTTTGTCTTGCGTCCTTTGTTACTAGCATGGAGATTTGGTTTTTTGCTGTTACATGCTGTTCATATAAAGATGAGTTAAAAACATAGTCCTTGCCTTCTTTTACATGTTGTACATGGAGTACCCACTCTTGAGAGTACTTACTCCCTGGCTATAGTAGGTGCTCAGTAAATATTTTTGGAGTATTAAAAAAGAAATGTCAAACTCTAAGTTGCTCTGGAGCAAACCCGCCTAGTAAATTTTGTTTCTCAAGCTTTTTTTTTTTTTGTCCTACACACACTACCTTGCAGGGCAGAAGAGTCCACATACTTCTCACGTTAGCTCTTGCTGGTGTCAAACGAAAATCTTGTTTGAAAGCAGCATGCTATGCCAACTCCACTGGCACTTCCTAGGCTGTCATTTTGTCCTCTGTTAAATGAGAAGGAGGAAGATGTAGAGACCGTGTGGGAAGGGTTGTGATTTCCCGTAAGAGTCAGGTGAGGGGTAAAGGTAGAGGGAGAGTGCTGTTCAGTATGTCCTAATTAATTCACAGGGGAGCAAAATCTCCAGTGGTTTTATTATTTTCTTTAATCTGTGCCTGTGTGTCCCTACAGTGGTGGCCATGGAAAGCCCCCTTTTGGTCAAGTTCCGTTAGGCTTCATTTATGTGAAACTTTTAGTTACTTGAAATGCAGCAAGTATTTGGTGTCCTTGAGATTTTAAAAATGCTTCTTCTTTTTTCCCCTAGTATCCTTATATACATTTGACAAGGCCAAACAGTGCATTGGCACAATGACCATCGAGATTGATTTCCTGCAGAAAAAGAGCATTGACTCCAACCCTTACGATACTGACAAGATGGCAGCAGAATTCATTCAGCAGTTCAACAACCAGGCATTCTCAGTGGGACAGCAGGTGGTTTTGAATTTTCTTTCATTCCTCCCACTTAATAGGCGTTCCAGTGTCTGTAGTTGTCCAAAATTAATTCTACTTTTTAGAAATTGCAAGGAGCTTCACATATGGACTGATATATCCAGTTGAATGATAAAAAGTGATGGGAGATGTGTTTACTGAACCTCTGAGTCCAGTCAGAAAAATTCTAAAGTAGCTTTTAGGTTACAATGTCATATTTAATTACAGCAGCTCTTTCCTCTGTAAATTTGGGAAGAGTGCAAACTTATATGTCTCAGACTTCTTACTTTTCTTGTTGTGGGACATTTGTTTTGTCTGTGGATGGCTTTCTCATTTACTGATATATTTCTGTAGAAAAGTAATTCTTAACTCTTTTGGTTATAAACTAACTTGAGAATCTTAAGACAAATATGTATATAAATTTGCAGGTTTTTCATGGAACATCTGAAGCCCGGATTTTCTATCCTTAAAAGTGATATTGCTGATCTTGCCTTTTTTTAGACTTCAGTTAATACATTGTTAACCTCCTACAAAGAAAATTCTGTTCTTTTAAAATTTTACTTAAAAAGCTGTGTGAGTTCATAAGTTGCTGCTTGTTTGAACGCAGAAACAATCACTGCTCTTTTAACCTCACCATTATATTTGTCTCCCATTTTTGTGACTTTCCTTAATTATTCCTAATTCCTTCCTCCTGTCATTCATAGCTCCATAGCAGTAGTTCTCAAAGTGTGGTCCAGAGACTTCTGGGGGTCCCTGTGGCTCTTTCAGGGGGTTTGTGAAGTCAGACTTATTTTCATAGTGATACCAAGATGTTATGTCTCTTTTTTCTCTTATTCCCTCATGAATGTACAGTGGAGTTTTGCAGACTTTGTGATGTGTTGCTAGCTCATCAGCACACTGACTGTTAAAGCAGACGTGAGGGTCCAGCTTTCTTCCATTAAGCAAGACATTAAGGAGATTTGCAAAAATGTGACAGTGCCATAGTTCCCACTTACGTTTTTTATTTTGGGAATTGGCGGGGTTTTTTAATAAATTAAAAATATGTCATTTATGTTCACACATAGTGAATTTATTGTCATTTTTATATTAATAAATACATTTTTAAGTTTCTTGTTCTAATTTTTACTATAGTGAATACCAATGGATATAATCCATTTAAACAAAGGCTCTTCAGGGATTCTCAAAAATTTTTAGGCATATAAAGGGATCCTGAGACCAAAAAGTTTGTGAGTCGCTGCTTATGGCATTCTGATAGTGACTTACCTAGATTGTCCTTGCAGGCTCTCATCTGGGGCAGTGTGTGGAACAGTCAGGGAGAGAAGTGGTAGAAAGAACTAGCTCTTGGAATAAAGGAGTGTCACTTCTTTGAATTCTCTCATCTAAGTGAAATGGCATAAATCTGGAAGAACAAGACCAGGGATCTGGATAATCCATACATTATAATCAAGCTTTCATAAGTGAAACTGAATCACTGATAGACAGAAAAAGGTTATAGTGCATTTATTATTTATTTTTAAGAGTGTTAGAATTAGAGTGAACCTCAGAGGTTTTTTTTTCCCCCTCAGAGGTTATCTTGTCTAACTTCCTCATTTTGCAAATGAGTAATTTTTAAATTCAGAGAAGGTAAATGACGTGCCCATGGCTACACAGCCAGGGCCATAGCTGAGACAAGAACCCATTAGTTAATTGAACAGTTAATTAATTAAACAAATATTTACTGGATAACCTAGTATGTTTCAGCTACTATTTTAGTCCCAGCAGATCAGCAGTGAACAAAATACACACATTTCCTATTCTTACAGAGCTTACTCTCTAGTTGGGGAAGATAGAAACAAAGCAAGAACTGCCATGCACTGTTAAGTACTTTGATGTAAGTAAAATGAAATGGTGTACTAGAGACCCAGCATGGTAGTGCTTGAGATTAGAGGGTCCGGGGAGGCTCCCCAAGATGACAGTCCTCTGATCATTTGGTGACCCCCTGTCCATTGCTTTTTGAGCTGTGCTGTATTCCCTCTGGATCCCGACACTTTTTGATGAATAATTATGCTCAAATTGCTTACCTAAACGTCACTGTTTTTACCTTTTCCTTTAGCATTACTACTTTAATAGAAGATGCTTTGGTATTTGTAATCATTTAAAACCCAGTAGCATGCAGATGTCTATAAACCCATGAGAGAAAAATCCTCCATAATACAGAGAAGAAATAAATATCTTACCCCAAATCACTGTTCTTTGTATTGATTCCCATTTGTAGAGTTCAGTAGTGGCAGGACTGGCAGTCAGCTTCGCCTGCTGTAGTTACAGTTATACCCCAGCAGGCAGAAGAGGGCCTAGGCTGTAGTAGGCACTCAGTAAACACTTGGTGAATGAGTGAGCATTCAAAAGCTGTCTGTGCACTTGTATGGCAGGGATTTGTATTGGTGGTGGAAAGGCATGAATCTTCAAGTTGTGGACCCAGGACCCCAGCTCGAGTCCTCGCACTCTCGTTTACTATGACTCTGGCTTCCGTTGCTTAGGCCCTCCCTCGGTCTCAGCTCCCTTACTAGTAAGACTGAGGAAGACTATCTGTTTCCGAGAGAGTTCATGAGCATTAAGTATAGGACCTCCTGTAGTGTTTGTTTGGCACATGAAGATGCTCAATAAATGTTAGTTCCCTTTTCCTCTCATTGCCTGTGTGAGTAGTTTGCCTGTGGAGCAGAGTTGAGAGGGATATACAGGAGAAAGCTGCCTTCCCTGCATTTGGAAAACACTGGTGATGATGTGAGAATCCAGCCATTATATCAGGAAGTGATTTTTCTCCTCTTATCTCTTTTCTACATAGCTTGTGTTTAGCTTCAACGAAAAGCTTTTTGGTTTGCTGGTAAAGGACATCGAAGCCATGGATCCTAGCATCCTGAAGGGAGAGCCCGCAACAGGTAAAAGACAGAAGGTATGTTTTATTTCTAATAGTCGCTGTGGTGTGAGTTGTGCAGATTAATATAACATTCCTAGCCATTCTCTTGCTCAGTGTTTTCTTTCATATTATGTACTCTTTCTTTTAAGGTTGTAGGGAGAAAACATTGCTTTTATAGCTAACGCTGTTATCAAATAGCATAAATTACACTTATTTGCAGACTTAATAGTAATTTGAAATTTGTATGTGTACTTGTAATCCTGAATTGAATGCAATGATATTTATTGCACACAAATAATAACAATAAGTCAGGCATTATCAAAAAATACATGCATTGAAATTAAATAGAAATAGTAGAAGGTAGGACAAAAATAAATGTAACTTAGATGATAGTTTGGAAGATTTGCTTTGCTTGAAGAGACCTTAATTCCCCCTTCATTTCTGGCCTTGCTTTGGGAAGTCCAGAAGTTCACTATTAGGCTAACTACTAATTATTGTCTTTCTATACAGATTGAAGTAGGACTGGTTGTTGGAAATAGTCAAGTTGCATTTGAAAAAGCAGAAAATTCATCACTTAATCTTATTGGTAAGATTTGCATTTTTAGAAAAGTCTGAATGAAGTGGGACTATCTCTGTTATCGTATGTGACTCAACTACCGTGATTTTCAAATCTGGCAGGAGAATAAGGGCACCTCTGTTGAGAAGGCTTTATCACATAATCACACAGTATTTCATCACCATCCGATGTGCTGATACAGAGAAAAAGTTTAGGGCACCTGGTGGCTCAGTCAGTTAATCGTTTGCCTTCAGCTCAGGTCATGATCCCTGGGCCCTGGGATTGAGCCCCACATCGGGCTCCCTGCTCAGCAGGGTGCCTGCTTCTCCCTCTCCCGCTGCCTGCTGCTCCCCCTGCTTGTGCTCTCTCTCTCTGTCAAATAAATAAATAAATAAAAATGTTTAAAGAAAAAAGAAAAATTTAACAGGGTGCCTCGTAGGTGGCTCAGTCGTTAAGCGTCTGCCTTCGGCTCAGGTCATGATCCCAGGGTCCTTGGATCGGGCCCCGCATCGGGCTATCTGCTCAGCGGGAAGCCTGCTTCTCCCTCTCTCACTCTGCCTGATTGTGTTCCCTCTCTCGCTATCTTTCTCTCTGTCAAATAAATAAAATCTTAAAAAAAAAGTCTAAAACCTTCACTAGATCATCATTGTCCGATAGAATGTGGGCCATTGTAATTTTTAATTTCATAATGGTGACACTGATCAGGAAAAAATACAGAATAAAACTGATGTTTAAACTTTTTTTATAAGGATTTTATTTATTTGAGAGAGGAAGTGAGCGAGCGAGTGAGAGACACATGAACAGGGACAGAGGGAGAGGGAGAAGCAGACTCGCCTGCTGAGCAGGGAGCCCGATGCAGAACTCGATCCCAGGACCCTCGGATTATGACCTGAGCTAAAGGCAGATGCTTAGCTGAAGGCAGACCCTTAGCCGACTGAGCCACCCAGTCGCCCCTAATTTTTAAACTTTTAATTTTGAGATAAGTTCAGGCTTATGGAAGATTTGCAAAAATAGTTCAGAGAGGTCCTGTATGTTTCACCAACTTCCTTGGTGTTATATCCCAAATAATCATAGTACAGTTACCCAAACTAAGTTAACATGGTTACATTGCTACTAACTAAACTACAGATTTTATTTGTGTTTCACTAATTTTTTCATTATGTCCTTTCTGTTCTAGGGTGTGATTCACAATCTCACACTGCATTTAGTTGTTTAGTTTCCATAGTCTTCTCTGGTCTCTGGCAGTTCCTCAGGCTTCCACTATCTTTATACGCCTTGGTGCATAACGTGTCTGTATGCACGTTGGGAACTGGTCAGTTATTTGTAGACTGCCCCTCACTTGGTGGTGTTTTAAGTGTGATATTAACATCGCTTCTATTAGTGATTGAGTTAAATGGTGAATGTGTAGGTAAAGAAAGTTCCCAACAGATTCATAGCTCAGTCCTACTCTTTTATGTTAGATAATGCAGATTGGACTCTAAGAAAAGTAACTCACCAGAATGATGATGCCATTAAATGTATAGTAATTCTGATTTGGGGTGATTTTCACTCTGCCGATGTCTTCCCCAGTAGAACGTAGAGGATTTTCATTGGTTGCATACCATTATTTCCAAGGTTATTTACCTTCAAATATGTGACCTTTTTTCTTGATCCATAAATTATCATTTCCTCCTTACTGTTTTTTCTTAATTTTACAATAAAATATTTGTTTCATAAAATATAGAAACATTCACTCAAAAACAACTCACACACACTAAAATTTTAAAATTTGATTCTATTTTCATAATGTTTTATAATTTGTTTGTTGCCTAACATATTTCAAACCTCTTAATACACCTCATCAATGTTAGTTTTAATGACTATATATGTTGTTATGGATGTAGGTTTTATCAGAATCTCCTGTTACTGATTCAGTACATTTCTGAAGTGATTTCTTTGTATTTTATACACCTTTCATACACCTTTTGTTAAGGTATCTTATCTTAAGGGAGTTGCATGACTTTCATACAATGTGGATATTTCTAAGTAATTCATGCAAAGGTGTGATTGATGGGCTTTTTTCCACTGATCAATAAAATCGTGTATTGATTTAGCATGCGGTAAATATGGCCACAAGAGGGCAGTAGAGTGTAAGAAATATATTTTTGATCCCTTTGTAAAGGAAATGAGTCCACAAAACCCTAACTCATAAAATCACCATCTAGGATAAACTTTTTCTAATGTGACCTTTTCGTCTCTAATTTAAAAAAAACTATATCATTTTCTTTTTTGTTTATGGTGGAGTGAACTAGGTACTTTTACTGTTTTTGAAATGGCTAATGTGGTTCTCTTGAGTTACTTTAGGTGGCACTATGACATTTAAGTTAGATAATTTTTATTTGTGAAAAGTAGAAAACATGAATTTTGAAATCATTAAGCCTTTAGGATGATTTTAGACTTTTGCGTGCAAGTGGGGAAAAAAACAAGACATCAGACTTAGTGCATCCTCTCAGGCTAAGGGGTTACATACAGTTTATAAACTTAATCTAGATAAATATACGTATTTTTAAATACACTTGCTTCAGGAGCCTTGAGGGATTGCTAGATTTCAGTTGCATTTCTAGCAACTAGTGTTGTCTTCATCAGATATACACATGGTGTTTCCTCTCATCAGCCAAGTTAGTTAACTTTGTTAGGATAAGAGGTTAATAAGACCGAGCTCCATGGATTGATCACAAATGGATTACCGCATGAGTTTAGACATTTCTGAAATGTTTTACTGGCCCTACGTGGGTCCAGACAAAGTAGTTAACATAGCAAAACTCATTCTTCTTATTAGAAAATCAGCTAAGAGCATGTTCATCTTTGCATATGGTAGCTTCTCTATTCATTAAAAATGCCCAGTGATTTCTGTCTTTTTTCACCCAGTAATGAAGTTCTTGTTTCACATTTGATTACCTTTGTTTGACATAGGCAAAGCTAAAACCAAGGAAAATCGCCAATCTATCATCAATCCTGACTGGAACTTTGAAAAAATGGGAATAGGAGGTCTGGACAAGGAATTTTCAGATATTTTCCGACGAGCATTTGCGTCCCGAGTATTTCCTCCAGAGATTGTGGAGCAGATGGGTGAGTTTAAAAAGGAAAATTTGATAAAAATCTTGTATTGTTAAAAAAAAAAAAAATGCAATGAAATCTTTTTTAAAATAATGTTCTGAAATTATTTTTCAGACCTGCCAGTATATTTTTGTTTTAACTTTTTCTTTTAAAAAAATGTTCTAAAAAAATTTTTTTTAAGTATTAGAATTTTTAAAATTACATTTTAGTTTTATAGGGAAAATAGAAATATTTGGGGTTACTTTATCTTATTGATTTATTAATTTAAGTATGTGTATGGACATTTTTAGAAATTTCATTTTATTTATTTATTTATGAATGTTTTTCTCTAGGGCATATTTAGGAATTTCACCTGACTCTAAAGATCCACTGTAGGTCTGAGATTTACCCTGCTGAATCATCATTACCTACTAGACTGTGGGCATTGTTCTTACGTTAGCTATTGCTTCTTTTTATTGTGCTGTTGCATTACCCAATTAGTACATCTTCATACCTAGTAAATGGATTCTTGGCATGTTTTTCAATTAGATAAGTTTGATCCAAAAAGACAAATGCAGGATATACATGGGAGTTTCCATATTGCATATAAAGAAATGTGCTATTCATTTATCATTTCCTTCTTGAAGGTTTATTTAATTTATCTGTGTGTGAAGTGGCTTTATTTGCCCTAGTGGAAATGCTGTCATGACTGTTTTCATATCCATATCATAGGTTGAATTGGAATGTGAGCAATAGAATATCTGAGAAAGGAATTTATAACATAACAGCTTCTGGCAGACTATTAGTATAAAAACAGTATCTAAAAAAAACCTAAAGGAATATGAATATATTACTCCCTTCACCTCCATCATTCTTTATCTTTACATTGCTACTGGCAGATAAAAGTATGGTGGGGAAAAGAACTGCTTTCTAGGCACCAAGTGCTTGGTTCTATTAGCCTCCTATTGTTGGTAGCCTTTCTGCCTGGCCGTTCACTCTGATAAATTACAGGCATAGCACACACCTGTTCTCTGGGTAAAGGTCGAGTTTGGAGTTGGATTAAGAGAAAATGACAGAGACCCTCATCACCTGAGTTTTATACACCTTGAGATGGCAATAACATACTTTTTTTATCTGAAAGATAACAAAGGCCAAGTCCATAAAAAACAGAATTTTAATTTGGAACATAGTAAAAAATGTGGTAATTCACTATCTTGGTAATGTGTATTTTGAAGCACAGTAAGTCCATAAAGCTTTTTGATCAAGACATGGAAATGTTGTTTGCATATATTTTGGGTATCAGGAGAGATAAAAGGATGATTTTAAATGTTCTGTTATTCTTACGGCATATTTTTTACTGGTTTTCAAGGCTGAGCTCAGTGCAGAAAGAGTCTAATGATTCTGTTTCTTTGAACATTTATATTATCCGGCCAACAAGTAGAAAAATAACGGCTTCTGTAATAAGCTATATTTTTAATTATATTATAAATATTTTCTCACAGTTTTTGGAAGCTATCAAGGATTCAGTTATTCAGATATGTGTTTCCTGTTTGTGCATTATCCAAACCCTACTCATGAGGGCCTCCGTCTGCAGTTGGGCAGATAATACGAAAGGAGCAAAACTCATATTGGTTGATTTGTGACTTTGCCAGCTGTTGGAGAGTTTGGAATTAAATCAAAACAGATTTGGAATTTTTGAGTGAATTTAATCTGTGTTTCTGCAATCCATAATATTGAAATCAGTTAAATTATAATAATTTTCTTTTTGTTATCATCAACATGTTTTTTGACTAAGAATCATGGATTTCAATTTTGTTTGTGAGGGCTACTATCCAGAACCTTTTTTGTGGATTTATTTTTCTAATATTTTTACATTAATTGGATAAAAAATGAGTTCTGTTCTTTAAAAAAAATTTTTTTTCTCTTTATGGCTTTTTGCCATCAAGATGCATGTTATCAATTTGATTTAAAAAATATAAAACTACCTTTGCTTTTGAGCTAAATTGAAAGACATTATTTTCTTTATTCTGAATGAAGATTGTCAGTGTCCTAAAGCTCATTTTTATGGTAAAATGGCTGAGAAATAATTCTCTTGCTATGCATATGTCATTCCGCGTTTTCCATTAGAGTCTTCTTTCTTCCTTTGAGTTTTGGGGGAATTACATAGTGGAATACCTCATTGTAGTCCAAGAACAGTGTGGTTATAAAATTCTCATTAGGCTTTGGTAAAGGTATATAAAAGTACACATTGCTACATTTGGATAGAATATAAAAACAACCCTGCACAAGTTCTTTTTATATATATGCTGTGTTCTTTTACCCTGTCAGGTGGGAACAAAACTGTCTGATTTTTTCCCTCTCTCTTTATTAACTAAATAGCTAAACTTCTATGGTTTGGGGATCCGATTGGACACTGGGCGTGATTGTTTAAATCAATTAAAATGGAAAAAAATAGTGATTAGAAAAGAATAATTTATGTAGGTTATGGGGCTGTTTTGTTTTGTTCTAAGCAGAGAACTTTTTTTACTTTTGGCTTGAGACCAAATCATTGTGTTTACCATGGAGTCTAGAGTTATGTCTACTTTGTAAGTAGGAATCCTAACTAAATGGATCTTTTTGCCTATATATCAAAGTTGCAAGTTCACAGAGTGATAGATTTAGAATTCTCTTCTCTCATTGTGTTTATGAGTGATAATTTTGCTTCTAGGTAATACAGTTCTTTCCTTTTGCTTGTAAAACTTCATGTTCCTTTCCACGATTGTGGATGTAGTTTGGAAATGTGCAGAATGTTGTGGTGAGGTATATGAAGACCAAAGGGCTAACCAGAGGCACACAGTGATGCAGGAACATTCGAGGTCAGGTGAGGTCATGCACATGCAGTAAATGTCCTAGGAGCACGTTCTGAGTCCCAGGGTAGAGGTGTGGGCATCACAAAGTGGAGTCTGAAAGTCTTGGTGAATAAACTCAGAAGCTGATTGCTGTCCTTGAGCACAGTCAGGTGTCAGCTGAATATATACTTGTGTTCAGACATTTACACACTTATTCCCTTGCACTCGGTTTTGTGGAGAGTGTTGCGGATAATTGATTGAGTCCCTCAGTTCTTGTTGTGGCTCTTTTGTTGGCAAAGATAGAGATTCTGTAAAGAAACTTCATTTTTCAGCATCCCTGGCAATTACCCCTAAGTTGTAAATGCCAGGGCAAAAAAACCCACCAAAAATCCTCTTCAAAGGACAGTGGAATGATTGTTAAAGAATTAGCATCTCTTAAAGTAGTTTTAGGACTAGGTTTACATGTAGCCAAGGAAAGGGGCTTTGGCAGAAGTTACCCGTTTTAGAGCTGGAAGGAAAAGGGTGTGCAGACTGAGAGGGTCTCCAGCCTCACGCTGCCTTTTGGTGGCTCTATACCTCGCAGAGATCCAGGCCACCTAGCGGGGAGGAGAGCCTCTGTGATATCTTGTGCCCCCCTTCTTTGAAACGACTATGTTCTTTTTGGTTCCCTCTCTCCATGCCTACCTCTCTAAGCCCATTTTCAATCTGTATTTTTAAGATTTCTTTTGAAATTCTAGAGGAAAGCAACTCTTCTGATACCGTAAGTGAAACTGCAGTTACTCTATGGAGTAGAGCACCGAGAAGATAAGGAGCCTCTCAATCACATGCAGACATCTTTCATAAGCTAAAAACAGTGCAAATAAAATATGGTGGAAGAAAGGGCACTGAGGTTTTGTACGCGCCATATTTGGGAGAGAGGGAGTTCTTGCTCAGATTAACATAAACACTGACACTCTTAAGATGCATTTTCACACCCCCACTCATGAGGAGAGATTGCAATTTAAATGGGGGTTAAGACATCTAGCCGAACTCCAGGGCTCTGTAAAAGGAACCCTAAGGCTAAAGAGCTTATCTGAAATTTGAAAAAAAGAAAAAAAAAATGAAGCTTTCTGACATTCATCTTTTTTCCTTGTATTAGTCATAACTTGCTTTTCAGCTATATTTTAGGTTTTGAATGCCAACCTGACATCTGTTCAAGTCTGCCTGTAATTTATTAGGAAAGGAAAAGAAAGCAGTTGCTCACTAGTTAGAGATGCAAAACTTCCCCCTTCTGCTTTCCACCAAATACTTATAGATGATACTTGAATATGAAGAAGTAATAATTCACTAATTTACTAATTCCGACTTCATATTGGGAAATTTGTAGTTTTTTTTTTTTAATTGAAGAAATGGCTTATGACCATGTGATTTCCAAAAATCTCTAGAACAAGATTTAGAGCTAAAGCTCACACCCTAAAAAAATACTATAGGTGCTTTTTTTTATAAGTTGAAAATTTTAACCTTGAATTAATTCTTGCATTGGTTTTAATTTTTTTTAAGGATTTTATTCATTTATTTGACAGACCCAGTGAGAGAAGGAACACAAGGGGAGTGAGAGAGGGAGAAGCAGGCTTCCCGCTGAGCAGGGAGCCCGATCTGGGCTGGATCCCAGGACCCTGGGATCATGACCTGAGCCGAAGGCAGATGCTTAATGACTGAGCCACCCAGGAGCCCCTGGTTTTAATTTTTTAAATAAAATTTACTTATATTTGAATAGAAATAATGTAGCTATTCTCATATCTCAGAGTCAAACCATTCGTAAATTCAGCATTTTTTATTAATAGATAAACTTTTGAAAATAAATCTTTGAGGAGGCAGAACTGCCTATAGAGTCTAAGCTAATGGGTTAGATTTACTGGCAACTACAGGTGAGTTACAGATCAGTAATTGGGTCACTAGTCTAAATTTGAAACTATACGTCCAGCAGTAAGGAAATAATTAAATAAACTATGCTACATGCTCTTACCCTTGCTATGGAATACGGTGAAGCGGGTCTTAAAATGATACAGCTCCCAATGTATAGAGATGTTTTAATAAGAAACATATATAAAACTGAAAGTTAAATGCATTACAAAAGTCTCTGTGAACACACATTAAGTTGAAAAAACATTATTTATGTGAAAGGGAAGTTAGGATGGGAACTACAGGGAGATTTTTGTTCTTTTACTCTCTGTACTTCTGCATCTGAATGTTTTACTGTGATCTTATATTTCGACTTGTATAGTTAAGAAAACAACCAAAAGGTAATATCATAGGCTCTTTATCTTTTGTGGTGGCTTCACTGTCAGCACAACAAGGGAACGCAGGAACAGATGTGTCCCACGTCCTTCCTGGGGTTTCTGTGGAGGAGAAGAGCACAGGGGTAATGGGACCCCCCAGGGCTTTGATGGCAGCCCCTGACAGAGGGGAGTCAGAGGCACCTGTCCTTTTCCACTGAAAAGGTAAAACCAGTTTCCTGATATGTAACACACTACTTCCTCCTGTTACTTTTTTGCATTACGCTAATGGGTATAACCATGAGAACATTTGCATCCAGGCCTTTACTCAGCTGTGGAAGCCCGAGAGGGTGGAGAGTGGGACACAGAGACTGGAGGGAGAGCAGAGTTTCTGATGTGTGAGGAACTGTGCTTGAATTTGCTCAGTCCTCCTCACACCTTTCCACCGAGGAATCCATCTCCCGTGACTCCTGACTTAAAGTTTTGGGTGTTTCTTCCCCTTTTACTCCCATATTTAGATTGGTGATGATGATGTTGATGACAACAGTAGCTAATACTCCTGTAGTGCCAGGTGCTGTTCTAAGTGCTTGACATATATTAACTTATTTAATTCTCACAACAACCTTGTCAGGTAGATACTATATCATCCCCATATTATGGAGATGGAAACAGTCTCGAAAGGTTAAGTAACTAACTAGTCCAAGACTTAGAGCTAGTAAGTGGTGGAGTCAGATTTGAGCCTGGGAGACCAGTAGATTCTCCCATTTGTGTGGTCCTTAGAACCTGGATTGGGATGGTGGCAGTGGGGATGGAAAGGGAAGAAAAGACACAAAAAAGGTTACAGAGATGAAATTGGCAGAATTTGGCGATTACTTATTGTGGGTGACAGAGTTGGCGGTGAGAAGTCAGGTCTCACTGAGAAAATGTTAGAAATGAGAAGACCAGGAGGACCTACTTTGGGGGGAGTGGAGATGTCATTGCACATATTTTTGTTACCACAAAGAGAAACTAGAACCTGAATTGAAGATAGGAAGAATTACTGATACTTATATTTAGTGAAGCCTAGCCTCAATCTCTGCATGTTTGAGAAGCACTCTGTTGACCACTCTTTCTTGAAATATCCTTTTTACTTGGTTTCTCTCACTCCAAGGGTTTCTGATTTTCCTTCTACCTCTGGCTGTCCGTTTTGGGGGTGTGTATGTGTGTGTGTGTGTCCTTTAAAATGCTGGAGTTCTTCAGGAGTCTGTCTTAGATCTCCTCTTTTCCTCACTCTGAGGCTGTTCTCCGTAAAACTGATCACACTGATTCCCATAGCTGCAGTTAGTATCTTGATGCCATCAACTATCAAATATGCATATTTTGTCTCCGTCTCAGTGTAAAGTTCTGGATTTTTATCGGCCTAACCTGTTGTCTATCTCATGATCACACAGATAAGTTCAAAATTAAATTCATTCACCTGCCCCTCCATCCTCCCTAAACATGCTCCAACTCCTGTTTTCTGTCTTAGGTAGTGCTCTAGCCGAAAATTTGGGCACCTTCTTTAACTCTCCTCTCTCCCTCCCCTCCACTTCCCAGATAGTCACAGAACAGACCATCAGTGCTACAGTCTCCTCACTCTTTCAGATCTGTCCAGTCTCTCCGTCTCCCCCTCCCTCCGGTCCCTGCCACTGCCTTGTCAGGATCCCTTGCCTGCATTGCTCCCTGGGCCTTTAGCCTTGCCCTTCTCCAGTCCATTCTTTACACTATAACTGGAGTGATTTTTTTTAAAAAGGCAAGTCTGATCCTGTCACTCCACTGGTTAAAACTCTCCAGTAGCTCTCAGCTTCCTCCATGGTTTATAAGCCCTATGTGTTCTGGCCCCTGACAAACTTCCCCTCTTCCCGAAGCCTGTGCCCCTCCCCCATGCTCTGGGTTCCAGCCAACCTGTCCTATTTCAGTTCCTCTAGTGGCTCATGCTACTGTCTCTTACCTCTGTACCCCTGGGTACATTTCACCATCTTTTTATCCCACTCCTGTTCATCCTCACTATCAAACACTCCATAGAGGTAGTTGGTTGGTATGATTCTGTTGCCTAAGATACTCTTACAGCTCTGTAGGAGGCAAAAATCTTTAATCCATTGCCTTTAGTCAAATGTTTATAGATCTATTTCCTTATCTTAAACTTTTGTTGCTGTTGAAGATAGTTAACGCCTTAGATTATCCTCTTACAATGTTCGGTAATTGCCCATTTTGAACAGTGTTTGTTGATAAGGTAGTCAAGGGGACACTTAGAAATATTTTTTATTTGTGAACTCATACTTTGGCTGATTTATGTTTACTTTTTATCACATTCCATCAGAGAGGAGGTGATAAATGCTCTACCACTTCTATAAATCTTGTCAGTTTCTTATATGTGAATACTGATTTAGAAAAATGACTATCTGGATAGGATATTGGAGGAAGGGAGGTGGAAGAAAGAATTAGTGATAATGTTAGCAAAAAGCTGCATGGAACTTAATACAGAACTATTTAGGAGAGTACTTCTACTGGGACGCTAAAAAGAGACTTTTCATAGAATTTCATATGACTCGTTACTTGGAGCAATATACCTTTGATAGTATGTTTATAATTTAAAAAAACCTGCAAGAAACGTGGGTTTCTTTTTGTTTTTGCTTTTTGTTTTTTAAATAACACGATGTTCTTTCAGGTTTTTCAAAGAAGTTAGAGTAGACCGCAGTAAATCCCTTCCATATACCATTTTCCTAATTGTGTAAAATTTGACATTGGAAGTTACTGTAGATAATGTATTCAGTACTCAAAGATTTCCTGTACTTGTGGCTTTGGGTTCTTCATTAACACCTCAGGCTCTTAACACGGTATCTTTTCTCTGGGCAAGTGATAGTTTGAGTTCCGTTCCTATTCCAGAGTGACTGAAAACTGATGTATAAAGATACATACATCTGTAGCTTGAACTTCTCTGCCGTTTATACATGTATTTACTCGAACTTATCCACAATGACATAATTTTTGTGGAAGTGCTTTGGTTTTTAAAAAATCTACCTAGAATCCTGTCATGAGGGAGAAAACTTAGCAAGACTTAAGAGCCTTTTGCTAATGAATGGTTACTCCAGGATAAACCTATAATTAGGATGCTGCCAAGCCACACATTCGATACATCCAGTCAAATCTCAGATCTACGTAGGCGAATTATCCAGACTGCTGACTATTAGTGCATTCCAGGGACATTTCTCTGCTGATCCACAACTACCTTTTTGCCTGACGCTTTTCCTGTGTTACTGAACTTTTTCTACAAAACTTCTCTTGATTCTTCTTGCTTTTCTGTCTGCCACCTGATTACTTGGCTTCTTCCGTAGCTCATTTAGACAACCAGTTGTGGCTGTGATGAGCTTAGACCAAGGGAGATAGGGAAGACGTGCTTCACTTGAGTTACAGATTCTCTGTAATCTCTTCTTTCTCTGGGTGGAGAAGTCTGCCCATATGTGATAATAAATGACAGAACTCAGCTGTTCAAAATTCAGATTTGTCTTATAAGTAGTAATGGCTCCAGGTGGGACACTATATCCACACGAGGAGAGAAAGATGATAGTTTTTTACCATAGACAAAAGATTGAATCCTTTTCTTCATTTTATGTAAAAATGAGTTTTTAAAAAGTTGAATTGGTTGAACTTGTAGTTGAATAATTCTGTTTTTGACAACTCCTATAAGAATTCGAAGGAAAAGATCATTTAGAAGGATAGCTAGAAACAGAATAAAAGTCATTGTTTATGTTTATTACCTTAATTATCCAATCCATTCTCAGACACTATTTTGCCCCTTTTGCTTGTAGCCCCTTTGCTTTCTGCACTCAGTTGCTGCTGTCAAGGTATGACAGTTGCTCAAAAGGATTGTCACCCATTTTGCATTATCTAATACTCCTCTCTATGAGAGAACCACAAGTAGACAGTATATCCGTAAATATAGTAGATTTAAGTACATTAAGGTAGCTATATATTTGAATCAGAATTAGACCAGGTTAGAGTAGGAGACCTTAGAAATTAACTAGTCTAAAATTTTCCAAATTTACTTAAACTTACTTAAGCATACGTACATAAAGATAATGTTCCAAGGAAACACCAGTTTTGAGAAACACTGATTTTTATTCATGTCATTCTTATTTTGTAGATGAGGACATTGGGGCCCCAGAAGAGTAAGCAGCATATTTAAGCTAAAGGAAGAGGGGGCTAGAATCCAAGTTGCCTTACTCCCAGCCTGGTACCCTTTCGGTTTCTTGATTCAGCCACTGAAAATGTTTGATTTATTACTGGGTTTTTTATTCCTGATTTCACAACTTGGATGTGAAGCCATATTTCCAGTTCTCTAGGATAAGCTTCATTATTTTTTGGAGTCTGAATTTGATTCAGAAAGCCCCATCCTGCCTTTAGACCACTTCAGGTTTTCTGGTGGGCCTGAAGGTTCCAGAGATAGTACTTTTCTTTTTTTTTAAATCTACTCATCACCTTTCCAGCTTTGATAGGGTCTTTTTTTTTTTTTTCTTTAAATGTTTTATTTATTTATTCATGAGAGTCAGAGAGAGAGAGGCAGAGGCAGAGGGAGAAGCAGGCTCCCCGCCTAGCAGGGAGCCCAATGCGGGACTCGATCCCAGGACCCTGGGATCATGACCCGAGCCGAAGGCAGACGCTTAACCGTCTGAGCCACCCAGGCGCCCATGATAGGATCTTTTATTAGATCTCTCAGATCTAAGATTTCTGTTTATAAAAATACTTTTATTAATTTTTTTAATTATAGAAATACATGTTTATTATTTTAAAAATACACAAGTAAAAAGATAATCACTCAGTATAAAAGAAAAACACCTGAAAACTTATTAATATCTGGAGTATATCATTTTACTAGTTTTTGCTTTGCATATATACACACACACATACATATATATGTATGTATGGAGGGGGACAAAAATGTGTTTTCCTGTTTGTAATCTCTTCTCCTCCACTCAGTAATGTAAAGTTTTTCTTAAATATTCTATAATTTATTTTATAGAATGAAACTGCCGTAGCTTATTTAATCAGTCCACTACAGTTAGACATATAAATTGTATTTACTTTTTCACTATTATACACTATGTTGTGACAGTGACCCTTGAAGCTAAATGTTTTTTGCATGTCCATATTTATTTAGGATAAATTCCTGGAAGTGGAATTTGGGAATCAAAGAGCATTCCCAAGTGTAAACCCTTTTTTCATGCACTGCCAAATTTAGACTTCCTTCTTTTTTTTTAAGATTTTATTTATTTGCCAGAGAGAGAATGAGAGACAGAGAGCATGAGAGGGAGGAGGGTCAGAGGGAGAAGCAGACTCCCTGCTGAGTAGGGAGCCTGATGTGGGACTCGATCCCGGGACTCCAGGATCATGACCTGAGCCGAAGGCAGTCGCTTAACCAACTGAGCCACCCAGGCGCCCCTAGACTTCCTTCTTAAAAAATCAAAATGTTATAGATGAAGTCAATCACTAAATAGGTTCTCTGGAAGAGAGAGAAATGTAGGAACTCTAACGGTTT